TCAGGCTGGAGAGATGGCTCAGCGGTTAAGAGCACTGACTGCTCTTGCAGAGGACCCGGGTTTGATTCCCAGCACCCACATGGTGGCTATGAACTGTCCTTAACTCCAGTTCCAGGGGAATCTGAAGCCCTCTTCTGACCTCCGAGGCATTGCATGACACGGGTGCACTCAAATACATGCAGGCAATAAATACACATAAAATAAAAATAATAAAATAATTTAAAATTGTCTAATTATAATTACCTTCCTTTTGTTAGTAGGGGATACTGACTTTCCATTTCTGGGTATGGAATACAATTTCTTTTTACAGGAAGCTGTGTGTACCTCTTCTTCTGAATTGTAGTCTGTCCCTGTAGGGTGAGTTGGCAGGGAGCAGCTCCCTCCCCCTCAGGACAAAGCTGAGCAGGGGGTCCAGGTGAATGAGTGAATGAATAAATGAATGGATGGATGGATGGAAGGGTAAGTTGAGACATTAAATACTCCTGTGCCTCTCCTGCTACCGGTGGTCCCTGGTCACCTGCCCTATAGACTGCAACTAGGTCCTCTGGGTAGGGCTGGCCTCCTCAGAAGCCTAGGTCAGGGGACTTTGATCTGCTGCCCCAGAGCGGACACTCACAAAGTGGACAGTGGAGGCAGGGCCATCAATGTATCTTAGAATGACAGCTCTGTCTCCCAGTCCCTCCCCAATCCCATCCCCTTTATTCCTGAGCCTGGATTTTGAATTTTCTGTGGGTTGGGACAGACCAGAGTGAAGGTCAGCCATCCTCCTGAGCTCCCCTCCTGCCACCTTGGGCAGGGGGAGGTGTCACCCACCCTGCAAGCCATGGGACCACTGACCTGGCTCCTGCTGGTCTCAGGCATGCAGGTGCCAGTGGGGGCGTGGCATGGGACCAGCAGAAGCCCGGCACCCACCCTGGCACCCACCCTACGAGAGGACTGGGTGAGAGAGGAGGCCCCTCCATACGGGGCTGTGCAGGCCAGCTGTTCCCTATCCTCCAGAATAGGTCATAGCCCATGGAAGCATGGGAATGCACAGGAACCTAAATCCCCTCCCCAGTCCCTTTGCCATCCTTGGGGACAGGAAGAGGAACAGGGGCCAATTTTGCCTGGTTATCAGATTGATGAGAGAATGGATGGGTGGGATGAGTCATCAGGCTGAGCTTGGAAAGGTGAAGCCGGTTCTGAGCCCAGCCATCTTCCTCTTCCTCCACAGGCACTGGGTGAGGTTTGTGGAGTCCCTTGTTACCGACTCTGGCTGACTTCAGGCTATTGCCAGGCAGAGCCCTAGAACCCACCATAGACTGTGAGGTCCAAGTTGGCTTTCTGTTCTCCCTGGATAAAGGCAACATGGGTGGAGGCGCCAGAGTGGCTGCTGCGTGGGCCCTGAGCCAGCAGAACACCCAGGTTCCACTGGCCCAAGCCTCAGGGCAGCTGAGTTTGGAGAACAGCAGCCTTCTGTGCCCACTGCCCCACCTGCATCACCAGACACTGAGTCAGTCTCCCTTTGTCCCATTCCCTCCCCCAGGCCAATCTTGGGGCAGGGAGGATAGGAAGGAGAGGGAAATCACTGAGGGAACAGCATCTACCCATCCCGACTTCAGATTAGGATGGTCGTTGACCTGTCTCCAACACCCAGCCTCGTTTCTCTTTCCAGCTCCCTACTTCTTTGGTCATTTCTACTGGGTCTTCTGTCCCTCCCCTCATTAGCCCACCCCTAAGAGGTGGGGGGAGTTGGCCTATTCTGGCTCCTGACAAAATGGTCAATTTTCAAGAGTATACAAGCCAGTTGTTAAAAGTTGCTGTTATTGAAAATGACCTACAGTTAAATAATAAAAGCAAAGGTAATAAAAACTCACCCACTTCCTAGTTATTTTACTACTACCTATGCCTTCGAGGGTTACACGTACCAAGTCAGCATGCTTTTGTGGGCTACTGCTGCACACCTGTTCCTGACCTCTATTCTATACCATGTGCAGCTTGAAGTCAGTCAAGGAAAGAGTATTCACGCCAGAAATGGATATGTTACATGCAATGGTTTGATACACAGTTGGCTTGTGTTTTTGTTTTGAGATGGGATCTCACTATATGACCCAAGCTGGCTTGGAACTCACTATGTAGCTTAGGGTGGCCTGAACTCAAGATCCTTTGGTCTCACTCTCTGGAGTGCTGGGATAAAAGGCGTGCGCTCAATATATATGTATTTTTAAAGTTTCTAGATTTAACAATGGAAAAAATGTTATAAATTTAAGAGTGTGGGGCCGGGTGTAGTGGCACACACCTTTAATTCCAGCATTTAGGAGGCAGAGGCAGGTGATCTCTTTGAGTTCCAGGTCACCTTGGGCTACATAGTGAGATCCTGTTTCAAGAAAACAAACAAAAAATAAAAATAAAATAAATTTAAGAGCGTGGAGAAAATGTTACTTTTTAAAATATATTTTATTATTTTTATTTTATGTGTATGAGTGTATTGTCTGCATGTATGTGAGTGCACCCATGTCGTGCAATGCCGAGGAGGTCAGGGCTTTGGATTCCGCTGAACTGGAGTTAAGGACGGTTCATAGCCGGCATGTGGGTGCTGGGAAACGAACCCGGGTCCTGTGCAAGAGGGGCTGGAGAGATGGCTCAGCAATTAAGGGCACTGACTGCTCTTGCAGAGGAGCACTGACATGCTCTTCATTGTAAGCATGCCATAATGTGACCGTTACAATGTGAACAGCACAAAAATGGAGGGACTATCCATGCAACATTCAGAAAGCACTACCTGATTTGACAGTCACTCACATCATCGATGAATGGATTCTGACATAAATTTTTGACTCATCCTACACTCACTTGAGAACTACAATCACCTGTCAGTGGCATGCATAGGTTGATGCCAATACATAAACATGTCAAAAATCAGTGTTCTGTGACCCTCAGGTGGCTCTATGGACTTTATAATAAACTTTGTCATTGAGTGTGGTGGTGCACGCCTTCAATACCAGCACTCAGGATGCAGAGGCAGGCAGATCTCTGGGAGATTGAGGCCAGCCTGGTCTACAGAGTGAGTTCCAGGCCAGCTGGGGCTACAGGGAGACCCTGTCTCAAAAAACAAAACCAAATATGTTTATACTGGTAAATGTTACATATCCTTTACATCAATAAGATTTATGTATATGCGTTCATCCCTTCCTCTAAGATCCAGTTAAGCATTTAGCAGAATGATCCCTAAAGTGAGCTGTGAGCACTCCCAATTTTCTTCATGGTTTTTCTGGAGTGAGCCCCTTTTGTCTCAGATGATCTCAAATCGCTCTATAGCCAGACCTCACCCCATGTTGTGAGCATGAAGACCCATCTGTCACTTGTGCATTTCCCAGACACCTAGGGATTAGGCAGAGGGTGGGATGGGACCCAGGAGGGGTTAGGATCTCGGACATCCATCCCCCTTAGCCATTGGACCCTATCAGAGCATCATTGCTGTGGATGTGTGGTCTCAAGAGTTGAAAACGGCAGAAAGATGGGACATGGGTGAGGGGATGTCAAACACCTACATGTGAATCCGGGCAAATGTGGTGAGAAGTGGAGACAGAAGTCCAGCTTTGGGGGCAGGTATGTGTTGAGTTCTAGGCACCTTTGGGACATCTCAGTTAGGTGTATGAAAATCTAAAATTCCAAAGGAGGCACCTCCTGGAAATGGCCTGTAATTAGAAAATTAGAATTGTGGATATGCAGGAGCTTGTCAGGGCGTGAGGGGTGATGAGAGGCCAAGGTATGCCCCAAGTGTGCAGAGGACTAAGTCTGCAGAGGGCAAGGTGTGGCCATTGCGGAGACCTAGAGAGAGAAGTGTTTCAAAAGGTCACCCGAGGTGAATGCACTGGAGTGGCCAGACTGCTTTTGGATTTGGTGCCGTGGGCCACTGATAACCTCAGCAGCAGCAGTTTTTCTGGACAGAGCTGGAGTGGACTGAAAAGGGAGTTAGAGTAAGGCAGAGATACCAGTGCAACAGCCCAGAGCTGGAGGGTGTGGGCTGGAGACCAAGTCAGCTAGCCAAGAGGAAGAGTCCAGTTTTTAACTTATAAAATGGAATTAAGGAAGGAGGGTCAAGAGCAAACTCAGGCCTGTGAGAATGCAAGACAGATGGTGTCACTCGATGTCAGGGAAATTAGCTGAGAAGTCACAAGTGCCAAGGATGGAGGTGGGGCTTCCTACCTGAAGCCTCCAGGAGACCGATGCTTGTGAGTGCAGGGCAAGTGTGTGGAGGGGAGAGAAGTGGTTGAGGGAACCCAGGATAGCACACAGGCTCTCTGTGGATGGGTGAGAGGCACTAATGAGTGAACGAATGGGACCCATAAGCATGTGCGTGGGAGACTGTCCCAGAGGGGAAGTCGTGAGACGGAGGCTGCCAATACCGAGGCATGACTGGCCAGGTATCAAATGCTGCAGGGCCACACGGGATGAAGACTGCAGTTCCCACCAAGCAGCCAGGTAAGACAGATTGTAAAGCCTCTGGAAGGCCAGGGCTAAGAGGTAAGAGGTACTTATACAGAAGTCCAGTGGGGAGGGGACTTGAGGCAGCAGTGGGACAGGAAAACAGTACAAGGTTTGGTCACCTGGGGAGATTCATACACCCTCTCCTCCCTTCCTGCTTCCTTCCTTCCATCCATCCATCCATCCATCCATCCATCCATCCATCCATCCATCCAACTGATTTAAACAGGAGACCCCAAGGTCCAAACCCCAGAACTAACACTTGGGAGTAGCTTTGGGAAACTTAAAAGGCCATCCTGTCCTAACGGATGAGCTCCATGCCTAATCAGGACTCATTGATGATGGCTTAAATAGGAAACCTCAGTTCTTCACATTTGTCTTGCTGGCTGGCATCAGCTCCGAGTATCTAGGGGCTAAAAAAAACTATAGATTCCCGAGGCCGAGAAGGAGCCCAAAGCATGGAACTGGAAACCCAAGCTCTTGGCAACCTGTGGATGCAGCCTGTGGTGGTCACTGAAGAAAACCAGGACTTGTTATGCTCCATTTCATTTTATTACAGCCCTGTCCTTGTGTTCCAGAATGATGGCTACTTAACACACAACCCAACACCCCTACTGTGGATCTTAACATTCAAAGGTCTCCCCAGTTTCTTTTTCAGCACAATACATCAAAAGGGAAAATAAATCTTTTAAAATGCCAATAGGTTTAGTCCATCCCAGGAAAAGCACCATTACAATAGGAAATTAAACATGTCAGGAATTGCACCAAATACACAGAGCAGCAGGTCAGATTCCTGAAAGAACGACTTCCAATGGAACATAAATAGGCCCCCCCGAAAGTATTTATATTCATGTGCATACATATATATTAAAAGAAATTGGTTTCTACCCCAAAAAGTTCTTCGGAAATAACATTCCCTCTGAGCCAGGGAAGGCCAGGAGGTACAACAGCTGCTTTACTTTGACCTTCCTCTGTGCACCAAGAACACCTGCCAGTCAGTCACTTGCTGGGACAGGGGTGGGCAATCTCTGTCTCACACCCCAGACCCGGCAGATCCAGTGTTTATAGAAAAGTGAGCCACAGAAGGCTACGAAGGCTGGTCCCTGGGTGGCCTCAGAGCCTACCAAGCAGAGCCCAGGACAAAGGGTTAAGGCCCTGCAACTGATCCTAAAGACTACCTTGGCCCCCAGAGTAAAAGGAAGTGCTTGGACAGCAGGAATGGGATGGTGATAATCCTGGGTTAACAGCCAGCCCCCAACGCTGGGCTTTCCTCAAAGCCCTGCAGATCTTTGCAGTTTGGCCAGTCTAAGTTTTTCCTAGGAGCAATGGCTTTTAGGAGAAGAGTGGAGTTTCCAGACTCATTAGGGCTTAGCTTTGTGAGTCTGGTACACATGCTTGTGCATACGCACAAACACACTCTTTAACAGAGGTCAACAGGTTGCAAATGAGTATTCCTACTCAAGTAGTGTCTGCTTCTGGGTAAACTGATGTTGCCACTGCATTCTAAGCAAATGGATTTGTTCATAAGACACCACCTGCTGGAAGCTGTAGATACAAAAGACAAGTTACACACCCTGGAGAGCAAGCTCTTAGGGCTTGGCACAGTGTTTCCATCTACCAACAGGAGAACCAGATGGGAACCCCATTCCTCATTCTACACCCGTTCCCGGCACCATGGGCAAACAGGAAAAAAGGCCATCGGAATCAGAAGGCGCACCAGCAGTTTAGGGTTCAGGAGCTGAAGATCCATGACACAAGTCAGAGGACACGAAGTCACACACAGCCATATTCATACCACACAGTCTGCTGGTCTCCACCCGGCTCTGGTGATGCTGGTGTGCTCTTCGAGTTGCCCCCTCTACCGAAGTCATCGGGGCCCCGGTTGACATGGGAAGTCAAGTCAGGAGACCTACCAGGGCTCTTGGCCGGGAGCCCCTCACTGTACCCATGCCCTGGGCCCTCATCTCCCTCTGAGGTGCTGAGCCCTGGCCGGATGGGGGCAATGGTGGCCACCTCCCCTGAGTGTGGTGGTATTTTGGATTTGGCTCTGGCAGCAGGTGCTGCAGTGGGCAAGAAGTGCTGGAACTGGGAGCTGCAGCCACCACCGTCTCCAGTGGCAAGGGCTGGGGCTGTGGCAGACTGCTGAAGGGGGGCTAGCCTCTCCTCCTTCGGTGGTGCCAGAGAGAAGCGCCTAGTGTCCAGTGGCCGGCCACGGGTACCTGGGCCTGGAGAGGAGCCATCAGCCTTTCCCACCACTGGGGTCCGCTCCCGGGCTAGGCTGTGGGAGCTGGGAGGCATGGGACTTTGCAGGCTGTGACTGCCTGTCTCTCTGACCCCTGTGGCCTCAGGACACCCTGGCTTCTGAGGGGACTCTGGTCTGCAGACTTCTGGCCCACTGGCCCGGAGAAGGTCGGCTGAGGCCAGGCTAAAGGCCCGGCTCAGAGATGCACTCCGACTGGCAGGCGTATGGCAAGTTTGTGGCACTGTTGTTTGTCTGGGTCTACCCAGAAACAGGCTCTGGGGTGGCTGGCCCTGTCTTGAGGGGACCCCGGTTAGGGCCTCAGCCTCAGCTGGTCTCAAGTTTGGCTTCACATAATGCCCAGGCTTCAGCTGCCGCCCCTCAGAAGTGTTGACTGCCATCTTGATGGTGGGAGCCACAAAGCTGGTAGGCATCTTGGCTCCATCTTTCCTGCTTGCTGATCCTGGCTGGCCTCCCACAGCCAGGGGATCATGGGCCTTTCGGAAGTAGTCACTAAGCAAGTCATCACGGCAGCTTGGAGTGTCCTGTGGAGAGAAGAGAACATAGGTGGGAACAGGAGCCCAAGGGTCCTCGGGAGTCTTGACTAACACTTCCGTTCCTGATGGGCTGATTCTAGGCATGCTTCAGAAATGCTGAGGAACCAGGAGTACAGGGGTCATTGGGGAAAGAAGCCCAGACTCCACCCAAACATCCCCCTAACTTCTCAAGCACAAATCCAGAGAGGGAAACAACTTCTACAAAGCCATCAGCCTTACTGTCAGCAACAAGACTCAGACACAGCCAATGTTTTGGTCCATTTCTCTTCCCTACAGTACAGACAGGAGTGAAGACCAGCTCTTCCTTCCCTGTCCCTCCTATAGGCTTAAGTACATCCTAATGATGGGAAAGAAGCAAGACTCACACCTGGAAAGCCAGAACTGGCTCTGCCACCCACATCTTCTGGTCTAAGAAAGGGAAGAGAGACAGATGGCAGAGGGATGGAGGACCCAGAAGTGGGGACAGCCCGGCCCAGAACATGGCACACAAATGTTGTTTCCTCAGGGCCCTGCTTCTCTTGCCCAGGAGATGTGTCCTTTGGAAAACGGGTAGAGCTACCAGAGGCAAAGGTCTGTGACCCTTTCCAGATCGGTACAGTCTTAGGCTAGTATCTCTCAGCCTGGCAGAAGCAGAGGCCAAGCCGAGGTTTCTCCCAAAGCTGACAGATATGGAAAGAGAAAGAAGGGGGCTGTGATACGGCTTAGCAGGTAAAGGCAGTAACCTGTTTGATCCCCAGCACCCATATCGTAGAAGAAGGAACCAAAGCCCACAAGTTATCCTCTGACCTTCACACTTGTATGTGGACATGCACACAAATAAATGTAATTTTTTTTTTTTTTCTTTTTTAAATAGAAGAGGAAGGAGTGATGGGAGCTCAGACAGGAGGTGAGCACCGGAAGCTGCTACCTGTTGGGGTCAGACCCTGGTTTGCTGTGGTTTTTCATTTCCTGACACATGTATCATTTCATGTTTAGAACGTCTAGATGGTTCTATTCTAGTTCATAAAATACATGACAATCATCAACTGTGGTGACCTTTCTGTCACTGGAACTCATGCCTTCCAACTCAACTTTCTTTGCAAGGGCATCACTTGGGACTTTATGCTAATCCCCTGTGAGCACCATCTCAGACTCACCCAGCCAGAAAATCTAGTGTGGCACTGTGGTCTGGCAGTTTGGACACATGTAGAGCCTGAAATCAAGCATTAGGCATGAACTTCCAGGGGCAAGCCTGTCTTTCTCAGCTCCTTGAACAAAGCCAGCATTTGGTAAACAGAAACACAAATGCAGGGAGACTGGGACCATGTTTCATCTCTCCCTTCTGTGCAACTATGAGGCCAGCACTGAGCAGCCTTTCAGAGGAGCTGGCAGGCTTTCTGTGTGGAGAGTTGGCATCATGCCCATGACCCCATAGATAGTGAGTACTCAGTGAATACCTACGAGTAAATATTTTATATTCTCTGTGTCACTGTGCCCTATTAGTACATGTTATAGGCTTTACTACATGGCTGAACCCAACTGTGTTTAAGTGGCGTAAGGTAGAAAGACTGAAGAGTATATCATAGCCCATTGGGGTGGCCCATGTGGCATGCAGGCACCGTGCTGAGACTCAGTGCAGAAGTGGTTCTGCCAGCAGGTGGTTATGGAGGATGAGAAGACACGAGCAGGTCAGTACAATGGAGCTATGGGCCCTGTCCAGCTTGCCTCTTAAAGGATTTATTGGGAGATGCTGGGAATTGAACCCAGGGCTTTGCCCAAGCCAGCCAAGTGCTTTATCACTGAACAACATGCCCAGTCCCTTGTCTTTTCTCCCAGTGTGTAAGCAAACATCTTTCTGTGGAGGGAAAGAAGGGCATATGTATGTGTGTGTGCTTGCACATGTATGAACATGTATGTGGAAGATAAAGCATTCCTTCTCCTTAGGCATTATCGTGTGTGTGTGTGTGTGTGTGTGTTTTTCCTTTTTGAGACAGGGACTCCCTGTAGGCCTAGCTGGCCTGGAACTAGCTAGACCAGGTGGGCCTTAAACTCACAGAGATCTGCCTGCCTCTGCCTCTCAAACACTGGGATTAAAGGTGTGCACCACCATACCTGGCTTTCTACTGTGTTTTCTTGAGATAGGATCTCTTATTGGCCTGTGGGTCACTGATTAGACTAGGCTGGCAGGCAAGTGTGCCTCAGTGACCTAGCATATCTCTGCTTCCCTAGCACTGAGTTTACAAGGGCCATGCCCAGCTTTTGTTTTTTTCAAGACTTAAACGTATTTTTATTTTACATGAGTTTTTCCTGAATGTTATATATGTGCACCATGTGCATGCCTGATGCCCACATGGCCAGTAGAGGCCGTTGGATTTCCTAGGACTGGAGTTACAGACAGGTATAAGCTGCCATGCGGGTGCTGGGAACCAAAACCATGTCTTCTGCAAGAGCAGCAAGTGTTCTTAACCGACGAGCCATGTTTCCAGCCCTGATGCCCAACTTTTTAATGTGGGAGACTGAACGTGGGTCTTTATGCTTGTATGTGGAAGCACTTTAGGGACTGAGCTACCTCTCCAGCCCCAAACAAGCATTTATGTTTCTATACAACTAAACAAAAATATTTAAAAACAAACAGGGTGATGGGGGAGGGGGTTGTGGCTCAGGGGCAGACTGCTTGCTGAGCATGCAAACCCAACACTAGTTAAACAAAACAAAACAAAACAAAACAAAACAAAACCTGTCAGTTACATTATGACGTGTGAAAACCATACAGAATTCAGATGTCAGTCCATTTAAGTAAAGTTACTCTGGAGGTGGCCAGTGTCTGCACTCTCTATAGCAGACACTATAGAGCAGGGCAAGGCAGCTACAACAGAACAAGGCCCAAGAAATCTAAAATGTTTACCCGGTGGTCCTTTGAAGACCCTTCCAAGTTTGCCAACAGCTGCTGGAGATGACACAGGGCAAGAAGCAGTACTCAGCTCTGCCACAAAACTTGGTGTGAGATCTGACTCTGCCAGTGGGTGCTGGCCACAGGCTGTGCCAACTTGGCTTCACAGTTGGAAGGAGGCAGCCCCCACTGTTCAGGGCCTGGCAGCCAGCTGACAGTGATCCTCTGGTTAGTGCTCCTCAATAACCTGCTACAGCCAAGCCAGCCCAGGCTGTCCCTCCTGCAGCAAGGCAGATGGGGAGACCCTGCCCCTGCTGGGCTGAAACACTCACGTGGGTTGGGGAGCTGCAGTTACTCTCCTCTAGAAATTCCTCCAAGGTGACCATCTCATTGCTGGGAGAGGCTGAGCAGGGCCGCACCCCAGTGTGGAGTGGAGCAGCAACCCTCTTCTGGATACTTTCTTGGGGGAGAGGCCCGTTCCGGGGCAGAGGGTACTCATGGCGGCTGAGGGCGCTGCGTCCTGGGGTGCTGGCATCCCAAGACAGTGTGGTGGAGTCCCTGCTGGGGATCAGGTCTGCGCTGCTGAAGCTCTCCGACCGGCTGTGCAGCTGGTCAGAGGAACCTGTGTGGGCAACATGGGTCACATCAGCCTCCGCTCTCTCTCCCTCTCCCCAAAGCTCACCTGAAACTAACCCACTGAGAAGCCCAAACCCTGGGTATTGTGCCTACCTGGTTGATTTCTTTGGTACTGTTTAGCACTCCACTTTGGCTTTTAAAAATTAATAAAAAGTAAAAGCAAAAGTTTTCACTAAAATTTAAAGATAGATAGAGATATCTATCTATCTATCTATCTATCTATCTATCTATCTATCTATCTATCTATCTATCAATCATCTCCCTCCCTCCATCTATATCTATTTTATTTTTTTGGTCTTTTTGAGACAGGGTCTCCCTGTAGCCCGCCTGGAACTCACTATGTAGACCAGGCAGACCTTGAACTCACAGAGATCTGCCTGCCTCTGCCTCCCGAGTGCTGCGACTAACAGGCATGCACCACCATACCTGGCTTAAAGATTTATTTTTTAAAAATTCCATCTCTGAGGAGGCAAGTAATATTTTTCTACTTTTCACTTTGAGACCAGGTCCCACATTGTCCAGGCTAACCTAAAACTCCCTATGCAGCCAGAAAGGACCTTGAACTTCTGCTCCTCCTGCCTCTGCCTCCCAAATTCTAAGATTACAGACATGCATCCAGTTTATGTGGTGCTGGGGGTCGGACTCTATACATGCTAGGCAAACACTCTATCAACTGAGCTATATATCCCCAGCCCCATCCATTTTTCTATCTTTAGGAAAAAAATCCACCTTCTGGGACTAAAGTGAACCCCCCCCCCCAACAAAAACCCTTTATTTGTTCTCTGCTGTACAACAGAAAGGAAAAGCTGTCCCTGTCCCCATTTCATACACAAAGTAGCTCAGACCCAGAGGATCTGCGGCTTGCCCATGTTCTCAGGGCATATGTGTGTGTCAAGGGGTGGGGCGATCTGAGTACCAATCCATTCCAACTCTCTGGCCTGTGCTTGAAACCTCATAGTGTGACTCATGGATGCATCATGTGTTTCCAACCCTGCTATGCACATTTTCTGAACTATACAAAAGTTATGAGCCCAGAGCTGAAAGTCCAAATAAACGTTCAGAAGTACTCCCAAGGAATAGCCGTACCCTTGAGGCTCAGAGGAGAGCTGTTGCTGGATGTGTTTCTGCTGCTCTCCAAGCTGTTTGGCCGAGACACTGAAAGCAAAAGGCCATCTTTACCACAAAGGCCCAGTAACCAGGTAGATCCCAGGTCAAACCATCCCACCTGAGAAACAAAACATAACCAAAGCTATTCTACATGAGCACTCAGGCCAGTGCCCTTGGCAAGGAAGGTTCAGAGACAAGAGTTTAAAATGACAGCAAGACAGGCCAAGTCACAGAACTCTAGTAGAGAAAGCAAATAGGGGAAAGGCTTCTCTGGACAAAGGTGAGTGGATATGGACCACCTGGTATATTACTGCATGGAGCTTTCCAGAACACATGCAAAGAGTCATCCAGAACAGGGATGAAGTGCTATCCAACACAGCAGGTGCATGCATGTATGTGCATACAGGGTGTGCCTGTGTCTGCCCCTGCAGGTGACCACAGGAAGGGGAGCTGGGGTGTCGGCACCAGAGCGACGGTTCTGCATGTTGTTTGCTATTCAGCCCTTTCCAACACTTTGCCTCAAACTTCCATCTGCTACAAAGGGAATACTCGAAGCTTCTGGTGACAAGTATGAAGGGACCCAGTCCTCATGGCCGTGGGTGTTGGCTTGTACCATGTCACTCTGCTTCAGACCTTCAGAAGGCTGGTACCACACTCCCTGCCATGGGCAGGCAGGCTGTCCCTGCCAGTCTGCAGATCCTGTCTTCCTCCATCAGCCTGCCTTGTGCCAGGTGAGAAAGACCCCTGCTGCTGGACTCTGAACCCCAAGGGGCAGCGTTCCTGCCCCCCAGCACAATCCAGGCACGGAGGGCTTACAGAAGCACTACAAGGCCCCTGGCTTGCTGTCCTCAAGGAGCGTTGGCTCAGGTGTCTATAGGGACAGAAGTCCCAAGTGCTGCTAAACTCTGCACAGAGCAGCCATGTAGAAAACACTTGTGAGAAAACTGCATTTGGTGATGAGCCAGAAAGAGGTGGAGCTCAGGAAGCAGTAGTGAGCCCCCATCTGAAGAGGAAAAGGGCTCTGCAACTGGCATTAAGAGTCCCTACAAGGGAAATGATACAAACAACAGCCCCCAAAGGCACCTTTTTCACTTATTTTGGAGTTTTGTTGAGTTAGTGTCTTACTAGGTAGCTCAGGCTAACCTTGAACTCACAATCCTCCTGTCTCAGGCTTCTGACCTCCACATACGCATTGTGGAGGGACTACAGGCTACATCCCCAGTGCCCAGCTCACCTTTATTCAAAGCTGCTTTCGCTTCCCTATGCTGACAGAGAAGCTGGAATCAGGACACGTGAAGAAAACCCTGTGGTCAGCCAGCCAGGAGCAGATCTGGCTACTTGGTGAGCTGGCACACTTGGCAGGGTCCCCCACTCTGGTAAAGGCAGGAGGGCTCCTAGAGCTAACAGGACTCACTAAAGAGTCTTACAGAATCTTACTAATGTCAACATCATTACACTCTCTAAACAGTGGGTAGATGATGCTGGTGCCCCCGACTGCAGCTGAGCACTTCAGATGCAAACCAAATCCAATGTTAAGTTACCGAAGTTTCCTTTTAAGGACTTTCCCCCTACTCTCCAGGGTTACTTTAAAAACATTTTAATATTCATTCATTCATTCATTCATTCATTCATTCAGCATATGTGTGTACATCAATGCATGTGTGGAGGTCAGAGGACAATTTGCAGGAGCTGATCCTCTCCTTCCACCACGTGGATTCCGGGACTGAACTTGGACTTAGCAGCTTCTTTACTCACTGAGCAATCCCACCAGCCTTCTGCATTTTTCTTCATTTACATTTATCCTTTGTTTATATTTATTGTGTGTGTATGTGTATGTACGTGTATGTGTGTACGTACGTGTGTGTATGTGTATGCACGTGTGTGTGACAGCATGCAAGAGGAGGTCAGAGGGTAATTTTTAGGAGTAGTTGCTCTCCTTTCACTACGTGGGTTCCGAAATCAAGCTCAGTTCAGCAGGCCTGCATAGCAAGTACCCTACCTACTGAGCCTTCCTGTCGGCCCCTAGTGTTGTTTTTTAAAAGCTGAGAAATGGGATGGCAGTCTGGCTCTGTGCTCAGGCTCCTGGGCAGGGCAGGGCAGAGAAGGCAGGCTCAGAGATGGTCCAGGCTCCAGGGCCCCCATTCCCACACCCTCAGTAACAATTCCACCTTCACCTCTTTTTCGTGTTAGATTTCCATGACTTCCATGCTGCTTAGCTTAAAGGAAAATTGTTCACAAAACCCAGCTAACGCCCCACGGGCACTCACCCTGCTGCCTGTGGTAGGTGCCCTCGAACTCTGTGGATGGCTCGCAGAGGTTGTCATCTGAATTACAGCCTGAGGTGAGAATAAAGCTAATGAGCTGGGGTTCTAGAATGCTCTCCACCCATAGGGGAACTCCTAGTCTCTAGCTGGGGACCAACTCAGGTACTTATAACAGCCTGAATCATGGTGACATCCTGCTCCTGGGGATGATGGAGGGGAGTGTGGATGAAACCTCCACTCATTTGCCTAAAGAGGAGACAGCCTAACACCCTGAACTCCTTCAAGTCACACTGATGTCTGTGCATGATGGGCTGACAGACGAAGGTGAACTCTGGCCTAAGAACGGGGTTAAAGGCGCTGACAGTATAGTGCCCTAGGAGCCCTTCCAACCCAAAAGGCCAGGACCACCGAAAGCAGAGGGTGTGGAAGCAATCATTCTTAGGGGTTGATGTCATCAGGTAGCAGGAGGAAAGGAAAGAAAAACAAAAAGAATTGGAACCCACCACACAAGGGGAGAGGACCTTGGTGATCAAGTCCTGCACCCCATAGCTCCTCACCAGACACTAACCTGGGAACCAATTAGCCAGCCACCAACAGGCCTCGCCCTGAGAATGGGGAAATACCCTGTGCTTCAAGCATTGAACCAGGGGTCTCTTCCCAAAAGAGAAGGGTGACCCCATATTGAAAAGTTACCTGCCCACTGGTAATGACTGTTCAGAGGGCGAGGGTCTTCAGTACAGGGATCCTATGTGTTTTTTGCCCTATTATGGCACCAAGGCATTACAAGCCCAAGCCTTCCAGAATTGAGCATTTAGTTCATTAGGAAAACTAACACTTCTTGCTCTCAATCTTCCAAATAAACCCCAGAGGCAACCATATTCAGCCCTTTCCACTGCTACTTTGGTATGTTCCTCTCTCTTCAATTATAGGGCCGTTTTTCAGTTTTAAGCATTCCTTTCCTTTTGTTTGCATATTTTAGATTTTCCAGTGCTTCCCTCTTGCCACTGCTCCTTTCATAGCATCCTGTTCTTGTTTTGTGAGTACAGTTAACTTCTCTACTGTTCCCGGGTATTTTAACATTGTCATTTCTGTTCTTCTGGACACTCACTCCAGTTCATTCCAACGCCATTTGCACTGGTTTTACTCTGACTGGGGTTGCAGGATCTCCTCAGGTGTCCATAGCGTCCATGGGCTTTACCTGACAACACCTGACCAAGCCAATTGGCTGGGGCTCTCTTCATCTAATGAGATTATGCAAAAACTATTACTGAGGTGTGAACACACATAGCTTCTAGCATTCTTGGAGAGAGCACATCCGTGTAATCCTTCAGATGCCCTGTTTTCAATATAGGACACTTCTCAGTTCCTCAGTCAATGCATTTCAATGTTAGAAACCCTCTCTAGAGAAAACACCTCCTGACTCTGGCCATGATGGAGAAGGCTGCTTGCCTGGTTTTAGCCTAGCCCTGATGCTATCAACACCTGAATGCTGCTGCTGGTAGATTCTGAGACTTTTCTTGCAACATTTATGCCTGTTGATGGTTGAATTACTTGTCCAAAAATCACTTGGCTGTTAAGTAGAGATGAAGCTTGCACCTGGACTCAAGTCTTCAACAACTTGACCCCTCTGCCCACATCTCTGAGCCTGGGTTTTAGGAGGACCTCAGGCAGGCCCAAAGCTCACCCTCAGGAAGGGCCATACTCACCTTTGGTGCGGCCTGGGTGCCAGGGGACAGGGGTAGAACCAGAAGGAGCTGCCGTGATAGCTGAGGTTGAAAAGGTCCGGGAGCCAGGCTCTGAGGGCCAGGACTTCATGGCTGGGTCGGTGGAGGTGTCTGTGCGGTCAACACTGCCTCCATGTGGGGACCCTCGCTTTGGTTTTAGATCCCCAGGGCCTGGGGCAGAAGAGGACATTGAGAAACGAGGCTGTAAGTCTGTGCCAAGGCTGGGCAAGCACACCAAGGCTAAAGCAGCTGCAGCAAGGCACGTGGCCCACAGGGACACAAGCTGGGTGCTCCCGGCTGTAGTGAGAAGTGGGAGAGGGACCACAAGGCCCTTGGCTCTAGTGTGGGCAATATGACCAGCACTGCAAGGCTGGGAGGAAACAGAACTCAAGAAGAGAAATAAAATATTGGTGACAGTCCAGAATCAGTTATAGGCACACTTCCTCCGTGACCTGGTACAGAACTCCTACCCCTGACTTCCTACAGCCCTAACAGGTACCTGCCAAGGACCACTCCAGACCTGCCACACAGGTGCTGAGGACGTTGCCTGCTGTATTCACTGTCAACCTCAAAACAGTTTGCTCTCAGAAGGGCACCTCCTCAAAAAAAATCAAAAACCTTTAACCCCTGCAAAGTGATTTTTAACTTGTATCTTATGCCTTTAAGCAATGCTAATTTTTCTACCATGAAAACATTCTCTTCATAATTAAATAATATTTTTTAAAAAGTTTTACTCCAAATACAAAATAAAAGTGGGGGTGGAGGGCTGGGGACAGAGCTCAACTGGGAGAGGGCTTGCCTCCTATGTGTAAGGTCTGGGCTTGATCCCCAGTGCTTTGGAACAAAGCCCCCCAAATAAAAAACAAAATAACAAAACCGAGGAGCATATCCCTAAGAGCTGGCCAGACCTTCTGCTCAAGGCCGTGCCCAGGGGCCAGGCTGCGTGTGGAGGCGCATTCCTGTACAGCCCCGACTCCTCACAGCCCCTCTTCGGGGCTCTTCTCACTGTGGTGTCAAGGGCCCAGACGGTAGGATCTGAGTTGAATGGGGAATTCAGATTCTGAATGATAACCTTGATGAGAAGCAAGCCCCAAGTCTGGTGGAGTGAAGAGTGATAGGTCTTCCTGTGGGTTAGATGGAAATGAGGGTCCAGAAGGAAGGTGGAGGTGGGCCAACAGTTAGCATGAGCGCCAGACAGACAAGCACAATTCCAGCAGCATGCAGGGAAGACAGACTCCAAGGGCCAGGCGACACAATGACTTGGGGTTCCTAAAGCCAGGGTCATGAGCTGAAGAAGCCAGTGATGCATTAACCAACTGTAATGTTGTCATAGTTATGGACTTTTAGGGTTATTTTGGTGACATTAGTTTTCCATGTGCAGTATAGTACTGACAGACTTTCCTTTTAAGATAAAAGTTAAATGCAAACTGTGAGCCAATTTAAGAGAGGGTACATAAACAACCATATAGGCGACAGAGGGCCATGGCAAAAATCACCAAGATTGGTGTAAGAATGCTGACAGGCAACTTGACAGTGTGTGGCGTGTGACCTCTGGCCAGTATTTTCCCCTGCTGTGCATGTGATTTATGTGTCAATGTTCTTTCTGTCTGCTATGATTTTAATTTCATCATCCAAGATGTCAGAGAATCACAGCAGAGTCATAAAACTTCATTTAGGGCTGAACTTTGGCTGGGCAAAATCAATCCAATTATTCAAAATGCTGGAATAGAGCAGTCAATCAAAACAAAGCCCTCATGATCAGAAGCAGTAACTCCATGATCTGACAAAGAAAGAGCCAAAATACCACTGCTTAAAATAAATCTTTGGAAAAGTAGCTCACTTGAAGGAGGGTGTGTTTTAAGATAAGAAGCACAGCAGCAACTGACCACTTCTGCTTTACATGGGCACGGCATAAGCTTGCAGGGGCAGGAGGGACGGAACACACAGCCTCTTCACTTACTTAGTGTGGACCTCCTGGCCCAAGGAAAAGCAAGTGCACGTATGTCCTGAGGGTCCCCTAAAACTGTGCTGTGCTGAAGAAACAGTCCAGGGAGCATGGCAACTCATCTTCTACTTTGCAATCAGAATCCACGCTGGCTATTTTGGAACTGGGGTGGGGAACAGGGGTGCCCTAGGGGCCACGTGGCCTTTAGGGACTGACTTGTTTTGGTGGGTTGTCTGAATTTCAGAAATGAAGGAGGATGTATGGTGCAGACACATGGTAAAGAAAGGGGTCAGAAATCCCCAATGTCTGAGAAAGAGACAGGCTCATTAGGAGAGGATGGGATGTCGGAGGAAGACCAGAACCGGAGGCGTTTAGACAGAGCTGGGTGGGCTGTTGGAGACTTGTCTTTTTCTTTGCTTTTGCTTCTCAAAAAGGGACTCTTTTTGCGATGAGATGCTAAATTATCATCGGGATAACCCAAACGAGGAAGGGAAAAAAATGAAATGAATAATAATTACAAATGAGTTTAAATTAGCAAGATATACGTAGGAAAGCTGACTCCTCTCCGACCAACACCCAACACTCAGGCCAGAGTCATTTACGCTCTGACTTAATTTAATTTAGTGGCACCCCAGTCCAACCATTACTCACAGAGCACATCAGGAGAATTATACACTGCCTAAGGAGCCGCTGGTCGAGATGATTTTTCAATTCCAGTGTGTTAAATTATTAAATAAGAATGCTTATTAACACAGGAGCCAGCTCCTCTTACTCATCCATTTTAATGACAGGGTCCCTGACAACTCAGCTCACACACAGCTCCTGTTGCCACTCCAAGACCTTAGAAACACTTAATGATACGGTTCTGGCCCACTGCCGTGGTTCAGTCTCCCTAAAGTACTCACAAATCATTTCTGTATTTCTAAAATCACCTTTTGGCAGGATGAGTTTAAAAAGAAATAGAATGCCTCTTTTTCATGCCCCGCACCAGGAGCAATTGTTGCCTTTTAGATCCCTCCACATCTTCCACTCCTTGACCTTTATAGTAAGCGATGCTGAAAGCAGACAACTGATCTAACCTCCTGAGCATGTCTTAGCCAGCTAACCAAGTTCTGATTTAGGGTGACTGCTGGGTGGGACCAGAGTATTTCTTTTGTTCCATCTCCACCTAGTGGCTATATCCCACGACAAAATAAGGCTGGTACTTAGAGCTCAGGGAGGCTCTAAGGGCTTTAGAATGTACAGGGACCCAAGCTGCTTTCACCAAAGCCAGCACAAGCTCAGGAGCCAAGCATTAGACAACTGGGTTTGGATCTCACTTGTATCAGCCACAATGTAGCCTGGTTCCAGCCTTGCTTTCTCAATTAAAAAGGGCTATCTTTATGAGACCATCTTCAAAAAAATAACATAATGACCCATCTCACAGGTCATTCAGGATTATATAAGACAGAGAGCATGAAAAGCATTCGGGAGGGTGCTAAGCCCAGGGCCAGGCTCAACTGTCAGCAGCCTGGTGCTTCATATTTGGGCCACGTAAGCATTCTTTTCTCTCAAAGTTTTCCTAACTTGACTAGACTGAGCATAGCTGGCCCATTAGACTGAATAACACAGGCTGAAATGAGAAACATTCCAAAGGTCACAACAGCCAGTATGAAAACTTGAGTAGGTAGACTCTTGAGTTGTAAGAAATATTACACTAACGCTAAGAGATGTGTGAGCCAGCTCTGGCCTGTGATCTCAGCACTCAAGAGGCTGAGGCAAGACGACTGTTGTGAATTCCAGTTTAGCCTGGACTATAGTGTGAGACCATCTCTAACATCAAGTTTCACTGCTACTTCCCTCAGACAAGCCTCTCACCTACTCCTGAGCCCACAAAGAGCAGATGTGGCAGACAGGCGTGTGCAGCTTTCTCACAGTTGAAAACGACACAAGTACTTTCAGTGATGAAGGTGCACGCACTAGTCTGCGGGCACTTATCACTGGTTCTCAGTGTTCTGTCAGCTCCCTGAGAGCTCCGGGCTCCCTAACATACATTCAGAAAGTTCTGGTGTCTTTGATTAAAAACTTAAGTTACTTACTCAGTGTGAGGGGCTGGTATAAATCCAAAAACATACTAAAAAGTAAACTTGAAATTTTCACAATAGTTACGGTGTTTCACAGACTCTAGGACAGTTATTTTGATACCTTAACAGATCTAAAATTAGGATACTGCTTCATCAATGTCATATAGTTACTGTATGCCAGGCAGCGACCATGGCAACACTGTCACTACTACACCCGATTTACCTGGCACATCCTTTCCTTTGGTGTGTGTGCACAACCATCTGTCTTTTAGACAAGATTTCACTGCACAGGAGTGTGCTAAAACTCCTCAGTGAGAAGCTGCCATGTCTGCTGGTTGCGTTTCACCAGCATCAGAGTCACTGCTGACTCATCCGGCCTGAGACTTGATGAAACACAGCACAGACAGTTACAGCACTGCTCTTATTTCAGAGCCTCTAGCCAATTCCGAACCACATGACATCCCTCTGGGAAGACGCACCCTGTGCCTTTAGGGCTTGAGGGCAGATACAGGCAGAGAAGGAACCAAGGTGCCTTGCAAATGATGAGATGACTGAGGACTTTCAAATTCTAGGACATGTGGAAGGCATGGGAAATGTGTGTAGGATCACCCTATGGAAAAGAGCTTACTGTGACCTTTGACACCTCTGAGGGAAACCCAAACACTCTGCTACTGTGCCTGTCTTTAGGGTGCCTGCTCAAGTATCACCTCTGGATGCTCAATTACCCACCAGTCTATGCCATGAATGGTGCTTCCCACTCTAAAATAACAAAGGGCTCTGGGCAACATGGTCACAGCACAGATGTGGATACAATACACCTCTACAGTCCCACAGAAACATGGTACACCCCAACAGTGAATGGATTTGGGGACCTCCATTCTCACCTGGCCACAGCCAGGCTGATAGCCCTACCTTTCCCCACAGGCCCATTGTGGGTGTCACGCTCTTCTGCAGAATTCAAGCCAGATGGGGGGATATCAGGGTTCTCTGGCTGTGACCTGAGAGGCTGAGAGGCAGATGGTGAGGCAGGGTCTGAGGATTCCAGCTGCCAGGAGGGGCTGTCTGTGGTCGATTTTAACCGTTCTCTGGAACCTTCTTTCTTTGGCTTGATAAGTTTGACTAAGGCTTTGGCTCCAATCCAGTGGTTCTTCCTAGTTAGGAGGAGATATTTAGAAGGTACAACCCATGCTCACAGATGCCTGAGACCAATGATGGGCTGGGCTAGGGGGTGTGGCTCAGTGGTAGAGCTCTTGCCCAGCATTCATAAGGCCCCAAGGACCATGGCTGTCCACATCGTTAAAACCCTGACCAGGCAACCAAGTCTCCTCACACGAAAAAGGAGGATGGTGCTTGTGAACATTGGCACAATCCTATCTGCACCTCAGGGGATGGAAATTAGGTGGAACTTAATTCTCAGGTGCAGGTTGGGCAGAAGGGTATGTGATGTCAGAAACACTGCTAGTCTCCCAGAAGAGCACTTAAATGAAGGTGATGGCTCTTGCTCATCTGTGACGAGAAAGAATGGGGCTATACTAACTACTTGTCATTTTTAGGTCTATTTTTTGCTGAAGTTGATCAGTGAAATAAGAGGGTATTAACTGGGCATTCCCCAGGCACTGAGCAAGCTGGACCAGTGTGTCTGGATTAAAGCCAGCACATTTAAAGGAAACTGGTGACATACAGCTTGTCAGAAATGGAAAACATTTTTAGCTACCTGGAAGAGAGCCACACCTGCACGCCCCCGTCTCTGAAGCTGGGGCTCCGTGTTTACCTGTTTCTCCTACTCCTCGCCTCAGCCACAATTTCCCCATCACACAGGAGACGGAGACTGGGAGCCTCCATAGAGCACCCTGGGGCTTCATGGTGATTACAACATTCAAATCTAGCTAGGACAGTCCAGAGGGGTGGCTCCTGAGCCTCTTGCTGGGGGCGGGAAGCACTGCTGGAGGAGGCTGGCTGTCTACAGGGACTACCCTCAACTTGAGGCGACTGTTCATGGGAGCAGAGACTTTTTATGAAGCTACAGTCTTTGACTGCAGAAGAAATTCTATGAGGCCAATGGGATCCTATGTTGGATAACTGTAAGGTCCAGCCAGGTGTCCTGCCCATAAAGGACCACAGGTATCCAGTTAAAACTGACAAGGCAGCCTTATGCTGCCCTGCTTTTTAATAGCTCTGAGCCCTGCTCTAACAGCTCTGAGTTCACAGACTTTCTGCCTCTTATCAGGGCTTGTTGGTAGATGGAGCCTGGGTTTTATCAGCTGCTATTTGCCACCTCTTACAAGACAAACTGCAGTACACAGGGTGGGGCTGAACGAAGCTCTAACTTCTTTGTTGTGGAGAACATTGGCACATGATGATCTGCCAGTTGTGGGGTGGGGGTGGGGAATCTCTAAACTAGGGCATGAGGTTGGTACTGCTCTATGGCTCCCCAGCTACCTTTTTTCACAGTTAAGCTGGCTGTGTTCACTATATGTCACTGTATCTTAGACCCACTCACTTCTTTGGAGCTGGATCATAGAACTTGTATTGATCCATGATTTTTTCTTCCAGTTTTTCCTTATGCCTCCGTAAAGCATTTAATTTGTCTCTGTAAACAGAAGGGAAAGGAGAGCCATCAGTCCAGTTTTAAATAAGCAAGTGAGCCCACTCACCAGCCTAGCCTGGATCAGACACTGGCGTTTATCTGGGATTCAGATCTGAGGATGTTCATCCCCACACTAGCCATTGAGTTGGGAATTTATGAGCAGAGGACCTGCTTATGGAGCCAGGGAACCTATGACTCTCAGACCACAGGGGATCCAGCTAAGTCGCCTAAAGGGAGCAAATCTCTGATCACCTGAGAAGCTGCTGAGAGGCCCCCATGACTTGTCAACCAGGCCAGGTCACACAGGACCTATAGCACCCCCTCAGGGTGCAAATTAACACCTGGACACTGAGGCTAACACAGTTAGTGCAGCCAAGGCACTCTGGCACCTAGTAACAAGGCGCAAAACAGAGCAGGCCAGAGAGAGGTAGGGCCTGGGACAAGCCTGTGCATGTCTGGGCAGTTAGCCCCCCAGAGCAGCCAGGCAGGAAGAAAGCAGACCTGGTAGGGACAACTTTTGAGGTGCGAGAAGCTCAGAGGATGAAGCAAATATCTTGGTTTCTAAATGATGGAAACCAGTTCACATTTTCAAAATGACAGCAAGGGAATGGCAGCTCTACTGCCTCTGTGTCCTGGGGCGTTTGCCATGCTTGCTAGACTCTGGGGGCCTCCTGTGCGGCCTGACAACTCAACCCCCCCTCAGTTTCCTCATGAGAAAATGAGGCCTTAGACAGGGGGGTAATTGTTCAGGTTTCTTCATCCTTGAAGGTTGAACTCTGGGAAAGGGGGATAACGGGGGGGACCACTTTGCTCCCTACCCATGGTCTGTGCTGTGGCCCTGCTCTCAAGCTGTGCTGTGTGTACACTCAATGTGGGGGAAGGTCAGAGAACAGCCTCTGGTGCCAAGCCTCAGGTTCTGTCCACCTTTTTTAAAAAAAAAATGAGTGTCTCACTGGCCAAGAACTCACCAGTAGGCTAGGCTTGCTGGTTGGTGGGCTCCAGTGTCTCAACTACCTCTGCCTCTCGAGTGCTGGGACTACAAGTACACACCACCATACTCAGCTTTTAAAAATTTTCACAGTCTCTAGGAATGGAATTCAGGTCCTTTTGCAAGCACCTTACCTGACTGAGCCATCTCCCCAGGCCATTTCCTGTGGACCCACAGATGTACAAATTCACAGAGCCTGGAGCAGGATCTGAGCGGTGTGCCAAGCCATGGGCCTGACACAGACACTCTCTAATGTAAAAACGTCACCAATAATCTCCCCGGGACCAGTCTCCTACACCTTCTAGTTAGTTAGCAGCTGCCCAACCTCAGCTGGCAATTCTACAATATGGATTATAGAGGGTCAACTTCAAGCAACAGTCATTCACACCCCAAATTATAGTGTGGGTTTGCACGTAAACCATCCCTCAGTGGGTGGTCTGTAGAACAAAGAGGAGGAGCATCTTTTCAGAGAGAGCTGGGATAGCACCAGGGGTTCAGTGACCACACCTTTCCATAGACATGTCACTTCCTGTTTTCACTATGCTCAGGCCAGTACAGCAAGGCTTGCCTGGGATGCTGGTCACAGGAAGGGAGAGCCAGTCAGCACAGTATGGAGTGATACACCTTGGACTATTCAACTGTGGAACCGGCATCAGGGTTCTTCCACTTGTCTACTTCTGGCCCCAGACACACACCCCTTTCCAACACTTCTCTGTGGACTCAATGTCTGTAGCTGGGCAGAGAGGCCTCCTACTGCAGAACACCCCTCTTCTCAGCCTCCCTCTCAGCAGCAGAAACCAACTTGTACCACCCTCCCTTCTGTGCCTCTCAACATTTGAGCGGGAGAAGATATGGCTCTGATTTCCTCATGGTTCCTGGTTTCCATGGCCCACACAAGGCTGGGGGAGGTGAATCAGGTCACAAAACAAATCCCCTCCAGGCAGGTGAGGAAGACACCAACTGTCAGTCTCCAAACCGAACTACTTCCCTGAAACACCTCTTCATGGTGTTGGTCTATTTCTATAAACTGAACACAAGCCTAGAAGCAGAGAAAGACATTCCAGTGGTGGGCAATGCTTTAGAAAAGGTAGACAAGGGCTGAAGAGAGAGTTTAGTCAGTAAAATGCTTGTCATGCGAGGGTGAGGACCAGACTTCGGGTCCTGAGAACCCACATAAAAAGCTGACATGGTGGCATGACCTTGTGATCTCAATGGGGAGGAGACAGGCTTGGGGCTCACTGGACAGCCAACCTTAGCCTAGCAGCAAGCTACAGGCCCATGAGAGACCCTGTGTCAAAAAAACAAGATGGACAGCTGTTCTGAGGAATGATACCTGAGATTGAACTTTGGTCTACATGCACACACACACACACACACACACACACACGACCACTGCTTGCTGTGGGAACTGGGGAGTAGTCCGGAACCCTTGCTGACATGCCATCCCCACGGCCCACTTACATGTACTGCTTCTGCTCCTCATGGTACTGCTCCTTGCTCTCCATGTTCTGCTCTAGGAGCATCTGGTTCTGCTGGCTCAGCAGCTGGATCTGGCTCAGGAGGTGATGATTCTCCTCCTCCAAGTTCCCCTTGAGACGGGAGAGCAGCTGAAACACACACCAAGAGGGGCTCACACACCATCCGACCCCACGATCTCACTCTGCGAACCCAGCTTCCCAAAGAAGGAAAGAAACCCTTGCACGAGGATGTCCATCTTGGTATTGTCTACACTAGTGAAACCCTGGAAAGGATCAAAGAACCAGGAACCTGGCCACATTCTTGATAAACACACTGCCCAATCCAGGGAGCTAGTGGGCAGCATATGGTTACTGAGTGCACGCAATGCAGCCAGTTAGGCCGAGGTGCCGTCTGATGTAAGACACACAGAGATGTTGGAGGCTTGATATGAAAAAAGAGAACATCAAATTATATATGAAATATTTATGACATACTGATTAAATAAAACATCATTAAAATTAATCAGGCATGTGGTTCAGTGGTAGAGAGCTGCCATGCAAGTACTAGGCCCTATCCCCAGAACTGCAAAGGAAAAATTCATCTCACAGGAGAAAAAGAAACTTTAAAAAATATATTTTATTATTTTATGTGTATGTGTGTATTGCCTGCCTGCATGTAGGTAAGTACACCCGTGTCGTGCAATGCCCAAGGAGGGCAGAAGAGACTATTGGATCCCATGAAACTGGAGTTACGGACAGTTGTCAGCTGCCATGTGGGTATTGGGATTCAAACCTGGATGGTTACTAGAAAATGCTAAATCTCATATGTAGCTTCCATTATATTTCAACTGAACAGGTTTATTCTAAAAGAGAGGTAGTGTTTTCTGTGTTCAAAACAGAGAATAAAGACCTTGGGCTTCCCAACATCTAGGGTGTGTCACAGCTACTCAGCCCCTGCAGCACAAAACAGCCATCGGGAACTGAAGTGTGGCTGTGTTCTAAAAGAACTTTATTTATAGATGCCAACATTTAATTTCATTTAATTTTTTATAATTAAATGACTTAAGAACTGCCAGGTGTGGTGGTTGGTACATGCCTTTAATCCCAAGCAGAGGCAGGCGGATCTCTGTGAGTTCCAGGTCAGGTCAGCTGGG